TCTTAAAGTCTGTGCTTACACTTATGTCTCCAAGAGATTTACCTATTCTGTTTTCAAGCAGATTAAGTATTTCTATTTTTATATTAAAGTCTTTGATCCATTTTAATTTTAGTATAGTACATGCTCAGAGATATGGGTCTAGGTTCAATCTTAAGCATGTGGAAAGGCAGTTTTTCCAGGACCATTTGTTGAAGAGGCTACTTTTTCTAGTGAATGTGTTTGGCCCTTTTTCAAAGATAAGGTGGCTGAGTGTGGTTGGGGTTGTTTCTTATTTTATTACATTAATCTTTGGATCTGTTAGTTTGCTAGTACCATGTTGTTTTTATTGTAAGAGCTTGATAATATAACTTCAAATCTGGGATTGTGATGTCCTTTGCCTCGTCCTTGTTACGCAGACTTGCTTTTACTATTCTAGATGTCTTCTGGTTCTATAGGAATTTTAGAATTATTTTCTCTAGTTCTGTGAGGTATGCTATTGGTATTTTGACTGGGATTGCTTTAAATTTGTATAAAGTTCTGGAAGCACGGCCATTTATAGAAACCACCAACAGAGTAAAGAGAAAACCTACAGAATGAAAAAAAAATTACCAGGTACTCCTCAAAGGACTAACATGTCTGGTCAGGGATATAACTCAGTGGCACAGTAACTGCTTTGCAAGCACAGGGTCCTGAGTTCAATTTCTGGTACCAAAAAATAAATAAATAAATAATGATTCACACCTAGAATAACCTAGAATATATAAAGAAGTTAAAAACTCAGGCCTGCCAGATTTAAAGACCCAATCCAAAAATGGGCATCTGAAATGAATAGAGACTTTTCAGATGAAGAAGTACAAATAGCCAATAAATATATGAAAAGGTTCAACCTCATTGATTATTTAAGAAATGCTAATTAAAATATAAAGATTCTACCTCACACTAGGAAGAATGGCTGTCATCAAAAAGGAAACCAATAACAAGTGCTAGCAGGGCTAGAGGGAAAAACGAACTCTTCTCCATTGGTGGGAGTGTAAATTGATATAATCACTATGAACATCAGAATGGAAATTCCTCCAAAACCTAAAATTAGAAGTTCCATTACCCCTTTCTGTGTATCTTCCCAGAAGATTTAAAATCATCATACCATAGTTGTATATGCAAAGCTAGGTTTATAGCAGCACAATTTATAATAGGTTAATATTGGAAACAGCCCATTCTTCCATCTGCCAGTGAATGGATAAAGAAAATTATATATATACATGGGTATATATTCTGTCATAAAGAAGGATGAACTCGACTTATTTTGAGGTAAGTGGATGCACTTTGAGACCATAATATTCAGTGAAATGGATCAAACACACATGTTGAAATATATTATTTCTCTTGTGTGAAAAATCCAAGAAGTAAATAAGGAACAGAGTAGGAGCTATTCAAATGGGAAGGAAACCTGTTCAAATGGGAAGGAAAACAAGGTGGGAGGATGGGGAGGGGAAGGAAGGGAACAATGGAAACAATGTTTTTGCAAATGCAGGGGGAGAAGTTTGAAGGGAAGGGGAGAGGAATGGGGAAAAAAAGAATTAAGATATTTTATGTACAGGTACGAATTCCCTATGATAAATGTGATCATTATGTATGGTGAATATGTACTAACAAGAAAGTTTCAGAAGAGGAATATTAGCTCTGCAGTGCATAACAATGGTAATGTTAATTTGGTCTGTATGAGGCAAGTGCATTGATGTTATTGTGGTCTCATCTTTACAGCTCTCTCCATGTTTAACTTACTTTATTTCACCTTTATTTACCCATCAGGTATTAAAAGTGAAAATGTCCCAAAAACATTCCCCAGGGATATCTGATAGGAAACTCTCTATGTCTGAGAAACCACAAAGTCTCAATTGTGTCATTACAAATGTGTACCATGAAATAAATGAAAGACTGATATTTGAATTTGCAAATATGGTCCTTGTCCTCTCCAAATGAAAAGATTTTGGGGAAGCATATTGGAAAAAGTTTGGATCAGTAAATGTCAATAAAATTTAAGATCTGATCCTGCTTTTACTTTTTAGTGAAAATGATAATCATAGAACAGGACTTGTGCAAATCAACATTATTGAAAATATAAACATCCTAAGTACTAGCTGCTAAGTCAGTGACTCATAGGTAACAAAGGAGTCTTACATCATGCCACAGAGTGTATACTGCCATCTGCTGTTACTAATGGCACTGAAAACAAGGTAGATCTGTTTAATTGATGAGTCTTTGCAGTTGCCTACATGACCTGCGCCTGAGCTATCCAATAGTTCAGCAGCTAGCCAAGCCAATAGCTCCCTTCAGCCACAGGGTGGAAATATAGCTAATCTGAACTGAGATCTGATGTTAGTGGAAAGCATTCTATGCAAGCATAGGACTTGGAAAGCTGGTGTAAAATATGTAAGTAATATATTGATAATGTATTTGAAGGATAATATTGGATTTAAGAAAAGTATATAATTAAATTGATACCTTCTCAGGTTTTTTAATATGGTGATTGTAAACTTCAAATTACACATGTGGAACACATTTTTGGGTTTCATTTTATTTCTGTTAGACAGCATTAGTTTGCTCTATTTATCATATCCACCATGAGGTCCCTTTTCTCATTTTGTATATTGGGTGTGATATTAATAATAATAATTACAGTAATAATGGTAATATCCAAGTTACTTGTGTGGTTTTAATAATGTGCTGCATATGATAGTCTTCAAAAATAGTAAAACACTTTCTAAGCCTTAGACTCTAAAAAAAAGTTATTAAAATTTCAAAAACATTCCTTGCATGTTAGATGACTTGGACTATTGAGTAACAATCTAATTGCCATGACTAAGTGTTCCCAATAGTCAGATATGGTTACAGACATTTACAACATGAAAGATAATTTAGGAAATGAAAATCCATAAATCATGCTTCTATTCATAATTTTAAAATAATGAGAATTATACTAGATGATCCAAAATTCCTCTAAATATACTGTGCTGTGCATCTGGGGTTATATATTGATGTTAACACATCTCTTCCATTATTAGCAATTTTCATATTTGTAACCTTTTTTCTTCATTTATAGAATGAAGATTTTCAGACTGATCTTAATGAGTTGTTATGATTACAAATGATAATCATAAATTATCTGGTACAGCGTCCAATAAAAATACCATCACACTATGTCAAACTGCTGTTTCTTCTTCCTTTGGTTATGATCATTATTTTTATCACACCTGTTAATACACTAAGGTTTGTATAATGTCAAGACCAGATGTCAATCACAAGTTTGCAGTTAAAAAAGTGACAGCAGATTCTTAAGATATAAATAAATAAGTAAATTATAAATGAAAACACAATAAAGGGAATTTCCACCGAGTATTATTACATTTAAAACGTTGTTTTTGCATGTAATTATAATCTATTAATTAGCTTATTGAAATTGTCATTAGTAAATGAATTATACTTTATCTTTCTGAGAATTTAAAATATAACGCTACCCCAAATGAGTATTTATTGCTGATAAGATACTGTTTATCAGGAAGTATTTTGCTCATTGTGAATTACGCAATTATTTATTTATTACATCTACATTTCTGTAAATCTTTAAAAGAATTAAAAAGGTTTATTACTGGTTCTTTTTCCTTTGCTACTATGATAAAAGTTAGAAGCAACTGAAACTTAATTACTTTTAATGAGTATAATTGGGAGTCTTTTCGCACATATTCTGGAGCCCAACAGTAGACTAGTACGCTGGCTGGTCATATATAATATGTACTAATAAAACATCTATCACAGATACATGAGCAATGATTCATCTGCTCAATAAAACCCTATTCAAATTTTTTCAATATTATAATCCTTCTACATACATAACTTTAAGCAATTTAATTCAAGTCATGACTGCTCATAATAAATTAAGATATAATAACACCGAAAGGGTAAACTTTTTAAAAAGTCAAAAGAATACACTATATTCTTATAATGTAGTTTGTTCTGAGTAATAGTCTTTAGTATAAAGATATAAATCCCAGAAAGCTACTGCCTTTTTATTTTAACATTTTATTATAAAAAATATTGAGTCCAAGAAAACCCTAAGATTGAGCATTGATTTAGAAGTTAGTCTTCAGTAAGTGAAGAAAATTAAAGACACAGATCTAGAAACTGCCTTTTATGTCTCACTCTTTGTAACACTGTTTTAACATGAAGTACAGAATCTTGTAGAGTAAAAAGAAGTGAGTTTAGTTTTGGGAGTGATTGCTGAGACTCAATACCATGCTCCGTATAAAATGGATATGTAGCCTACCCGATTTTTTAAAAATAGAAATAAATACAAGCATTTTCTGTTAAAAAGCTAATGTTGTTAATATATTATTAAGTAACTATGAGAATTTGAAAGGTTAATTCAAATAGGTGTAGAGAGTTCAGAAATAAAATATTTTCAGCATGGAGTCCTCCCCACATCCAAGAGGAACCGCATCTTACCAGATTGTCAAGTTTTCCCATATAAGCTTTTTCTGGCAGCACCTTATAATTTGTGAATTAGACATTTTTTATTGAAAATTTTCACCCTTACATTATGAGGACCCTCTTTATTATATTCCAAGGAGAGATTAACACATTTATTGTGAATTAAAAGCATCTGTTATCCAATAAAATCATTATTTTCTTTTATTAACTGAAAGAAATAGCTCCTAAGCAACTGTATTAGATTCAAAGTGTAAATATGAAGAGATACAAGGAAAAGAGCTCCTATTTGTATAGGAAATATTTCTGACTATTTCATTTCATTAATGACCCTGAACACATCACCTTGGATTTTTTTTTTTTTTTTTTTTTGGTTTCTCTCTGGTACCGGGAACCGAACTCACGACCTTGCGCTTGCCAGGCAGGCGCTTTGCCCCTGAGCTAAATCCCCAGCCCCACCTTGGATATTTTTGTTCCTTGTTTTCTTTTTAATACCCTAACCGTTTCGCCCTATGGAGTAAGCATTAAAGGGTACTCACTCTGGGGGAAGCGAGGTGGATTATCATTGACATCTGTCAGTGTGATATTCACTGTGGTCGTCCCCGATAAGCCTCCCATTTGGCCGCCCATGTCTTTGGCCTGGATGACCACTTGGTACTGCTCTCGATTTTCTCTGTTCATGTTCGGTAATGCAGTCCTGATGATACCTTTAAAAAAACATGAATGCTTTCATTATTCTTAAAGAATTTTTTCAATTATAATTAGATTAAACCCTTGAGGAATATTTTAAATATCTAAGATATTTTTGCTGTTAATTTTGCATCAAAATTATAAAAGTGATTTCATGTATTTTTATTGTTTGTGTTGTTTTTCTACAGAGTGATCTAAATACGTATGTAAAAACAGCAACGTGTAAGACATATATTCCCAGGGCCGGGGATACAACTCAGAGGCACAGCGCCTATCCGGCAAGAACAAGGTCCTGAGTTTGACTCTTGGTATAAAATAGAAAGAAAAAAATTTCCATTAGCTCACTCAGTTATTGAATTTCAAATTTTTAAACATGTGCATGTGGCCTCCTCAGTCTTCTCTGAGAGTTAATCTTAAGATTTTGCTCTTATTTCCCCAACCTCGTTATACTTATAAAAATCATAGAGATGATTACGTGAATAAGCACTAGTTCGTGATTCCTGACCTGTTTCTGGTTCCACAGAGAAATACGGCTGCCCTTGAAGAATGCTGTAAATGACTCTGGCGCTGTTCCCATAGGAAGGGTCATCGGCATCTGTAGCTGTGACTTGCACCACAGAAGTACCTGAAGTATCCAAACTCAGCTTAGTTCTGCACAGTACCAGAAGGAGGAGCAAAAGCACTGGTTTTCATTGAAGACTTGAATGATCTTTGGCTATAATACGACCACTTAAAGAAAGCTTTATATGTAATTTGGATGAAAATCATGTGTGCGTGTGTGTGTGTGTGTGTGTGTGTGTGTGTATTAATGTATGTATACACACATATAGTGCTATTACAGGTGAAACTCTGTCTTTGATTATACAATATGTATTAGTTATTGGGAGTATTTTTATGCAGGAAGTAGATAATGCTACAGTGTTTCAGAATGTAATACATACAGTACCTTCACAAATGCTCAAGTTTTATATTTAAATCCGTTGTATATGATAAATTTCTTTCACGTAAAGGGCACATCTAGCCACAAAGGAGTAACTATGCTCTCCTTTCCCACTCCGCACTAATTAACTCTAAAAATAATTAACATATGCTCTAGAATATAATTTTGTGAATAGATTGAATTCTAAATTTAGAAACATTCCAAGATGATCCCAAGTAAAGTGAACTACTAAAATCTATTTAATAAAGTTCACCATATTTATAAGCGCTTTATAGTAAGGTGATAATAAAAAGTCCTTGGGATTCAGCAAAGTAAATATTAAGAAATAATCTCATAATAAATCTTTTGAGGGCTGGGGATTTAGCTTAGCGGCACAGCGTTCGTCTGGCAAGCGCAAGGTTGTGAGTTCAATTACTGGTACTAGAAAAAAAAAAACCCTCAAAAAATAAATAAATAAATCTTTTGAGAAAAGCAGAATTTGAAACTTTATTAAAACAGTTACAAATAAACAAAAAGCACCAGAATTATTCCATCAATTTAAATGAATTTATAATTATACACAAGTGTGTATTTTGCACTTCAAGTACATATCTCTTTAAAAGACAACATTTTGGGGCTGGGGATTTAGCTCAGCGGCAAAGCGCCTGCCTGGCAAGCGCAAGGTGGTGAGTTCGGTTCCTGGTAACGGAGAAAAACCAAAAAAAAAAAAAAAAAGACAACATTTCCTGGTGCTTTAAAATTTTTGCCATGCTCTTTTAATAAAAATTAAGATAATTTAATGTTCTCTTCCTACCAATATAACTGATATTTCTTTAAAGTATAAAGAGAAATTCCATTTTTAAAGAAAAATGTCTATTTTTATGCTTTCTTTTATATAAGTTCCATATTTTAACTTTATAATTCTTTGCTAGTATGTCATTAATTGTGGATTGCAACTGGTTTATTTGAATGTGAGATTTATGCCAGCAGAGTTTTATATGTAGTGATTCTAATGAAAGATATGTCTTAATGCATAAGAAAACTTATTTCACCATTTGAAATAAGTAGATAATCTGGAGAAACTCTTTTGGGGAATTGCAACTAATGACATGAATGAAACTATTGCATCAATGGTATTTTTAATGTATTATCAGACCTAAATATCTGTGATTTCTACATTTGGGTATTCAACTATCCTAGTAGGAAGAACATTTTCAAAAATGCATCTCTAGAGAACACGTACAGAATATTTTTCTTGCTGTATTATCTAAACAATAAAAAAATTACATCTTGTCGTATTAGGTATTACAAGTAATCTAGAAATTATTTAAAACATACAGTTTTATGTGCTTATGCTATATGTAAATAAATATTTTCCTATTTTAATTAGGAAATTGAGCACCCAAGGACTTAGGTTTCTTTTCGGGGGTCCTAGAAGCATAGTCAAAACACAGAGCAAGTATATTTATAAAATAATTGTGTTCAGAATTCATGCAACTATTAGTTATCCAAAGTCGTGCAATAAAATTTAATATTTTCATGGTTTGCTGATGGCCAATAGTACTTGATATTGAGTTATACCTACATGTACTGTAAAGTTTAAAAACCAAAAGTTAATGTAAAATGCAATAGAAATATTAAATATGTGCTATTGATAAGGAACAATCAATTATTGCCTTTAATTCGTTCAACTATAAGAATTTCTTAAAATTATTTTTGTACTTTGTGAATGCTTTCATAAGTATAAACAAGCTTACCTACAACGGACATTTCAGGAACACTAGCTGTGTAAATTTCTTCAGGAAAAGTTGGTTCATTGTCATTGATATCGTGGATTTTGATCACAAATTCAGACTCCGGTTCTACTGGCCTCAGAGTTCTTCTGTTAATAGCTTGTGCACGTAGAGTATAAAAGGCTTTTTCCTCTCTATCAATTCGTCTTGTGGCATGAATATCACCTGTTTTTTCATCAATAATAAAAAGAGTGCCAGCTCCATCTCCAGATAAAATATATTTGAGCGATCCATCTCCTTTATCTTGGTCTGAATGAAGCTAGGGGAAATAAAAGGACTATGTTCGTGACAGTGCGTGTGTACAGGTATATAGTGCTGAAAGAACTCACATCCCATCACTGAATAATGAGCTCAGTAACTGCTTTCATGCAATGTGAGAGTTGTGTAAGTCTGATCACAGATACACACTTTAAGAACTGAGGAATAGCCTTGCATGTATCACTGTGATTTTTATTCAAATTAGGAAAAAGTAGCAACAATAAACCAAACTCCTTTGTTTGTTTTACTTGGTGTTGGAGTTTGGATCTGAAACATACCTAGGAATTCTAATCCACTCAGAGGTGAAGCTTCAGGAAGGTAACCGGGTCCTGAGAGTGTTTTACTCTTGCATGAAATGTGCCGCAAGGAGTTTACAGGTGGATGTGCCGTGAGCGTGCGTGCCTCCTGGAGGGGCTCATGGGTGCTGGTAGAGGAAGTGCATTCCTGTCCCTGGCTCTGCTATTTTCATTCGTTTCCTGGCTGTCCCGACCTTGAACTTCCTTATCCTTCCTTGCCCTTCCACCATTCCATTTCTGCCTTACCCAAGTGAACCTGGACAATGGATCTCTTTGAAACCATGAGTCTAGATAAAATTCTCCTCCTTAAATTGTAGATGTCAGGTATTTTTGTTTCAAAGACGTGAACATGATGAATGCCCTTGATGAAAAACCATTTCTATGGTAAACAAGTTTAATAAAGACACCTCTTGGTTTTGATATGTTGATATAAAGCTTATCGTCTAATCTCTGTCTGTGAATAGAATGTTTTTATTCTCATATTGTGCAGGAAATCTTCTGCATATAACGTTATTATTTCTTACTATGTTTTTGTTGTGGATTTAGTAAAATCTTGGGATCTCAAAGTTAGGAAAAGCTGTATGAACCATAACTTCTACTTCAGGAAAACCATACATAATTCATACAAAAGACAGTGACTATCTCACAAATGTTCAAGCAAGAGCACAGATAGATTCTACATAAAACTTACATATAAATAAATATATGTGTTATAAATTTGATTAATAAAGTGCTCAACCAGCACATGCAAAAAATTAATGAACTATAAAATAAAACATAGTCTAGTCTTCTACCTTGCCAAATTTATCTTTGTAAAATCTTGAAAGAGCAATTCAGGAACAAGGCAATTCAGGGTAAGTCTGTTCCCCCTTCCCCTGCCTGTGCCTATAACATGACCACACTCAGTCTTTCAGAATTAATTCACCAGACTCTGTGTGCATTCACATGGACATCTCAGTCCAGTGAACTTGCAATTGCTGTGCAAGTGCTAAATCAGAAGCTCATGAGCTATGTGCAGATTTCATTTATATGTGTTTAGCAGATGTCCCCCTAGAAGCCCAGCCTGTAGGCTCATGGGTGCCTGTGCCAGTGAGTAAGTCTTGACTTTGGGGGACTGATTTGGGTAAGATACCCTCCTAGAATATAGAAATAAGCACAAGGAGGTTTGAGGAGGGTATCACAGTACCTTGAGGATATTCTAGATACAGAACCTGGTTTCAGATAGGAATACCTCTGCCTTCTAGGAGATTTTTATTCTAAAGTGAGGCATGTGGTCACAGAAAGAACAAAGCTTGGCGTTCAAAAACACAGGGACTACAAATATTTCCAAAGTTATACCACTCATCTAATAAACATTTAATATGTTATGAGCAGAGTTTTATTATTCATAATAAAATACTACCCTTAATTCTATCTTGAATCTTAAGAAATATATTTAAAATTATTATAGATTCTCTTGAATTTCCCCATTACCATCTTTGCGAGATATACAAAAGCAATTCACTTTAATTGGTTCGCAGTAATTACCACTTAGCTGTTAAGTCTGGATAAAACTCTATTTTTCTTATTTTATGATAAACAACTCATTATTCCAGATATAATGGCTAAAGAAAATCCTGAATATTCATAGGAATTTAGATAAAAGGTAAAGAAATCAGAGAACAACTTTTTACTATGATTTTAGCTATTCATAAAAAGTAAAGAAGGGAAACTAAGGAAACATCAATCTTTAACTAAAAAATCTCTCAAAAGTACCACATGCCTCTATTGTCCAGGGAACCACACTCAAAAAGTCGCAAGACTGGTCTGTTTTCTAACTTAAAATGCAGAGTTGCTGGAAACTTTCTAAGTATGAGTATGTGTAACACAGCGGTAATTTTCCAAATCACACTACTACACATCGTATATTTCTTGTTCTGTGTGGGAATCAAAAAATTTAAGGAACCACTATTGGTATCATCAATCAAGGGATTAGATAGCTGTGTTTTTAGTAGACAATTCTGACATTTGCTGTCTATTCATTCAATAGCTTCAATTGAGAAATATCTGTTTATTCTCATAAGAGTAGGGTATGTCTAAAGGCAAAATCAACAATTCCAATCTATTTCTATAGAAGATTCAAACCAAGTGTGTAATAGAAATTCACAGTATAGTCCACAGGAATTATAGAAGATTTCTTAAGCATAGAATACCTAAACTACCCAACAAAGGAAGAACAGAAGTTGGAACATGAAAATATTTTATGTTTTATAAATATTGCATCTCAGAACACTATGTACAGAAGACAAGGAAGGAAATCAACACAGAGAATATTAAATCTAGTTGAGCTAGTCTTATAAAAAAATGTAGAAAAGGCTCTTCATATGGTAAGATTTTGACTTTATATAGTTGAGTTTCATAATATAAATCACAGTAGGATTTTTACCTTTACTTATGCTACAGAGAGTGAAAATTAAATCTTATAATTGGACCACATATGGTTGGAATTTTCTGTTGGATTAGAAAATTGAACATGGTAGCAGAAAATCAGAGATGAAAGTTGCAAGCTAGACTGCAGTTTTAAGCATCAGAAAATGAAACACTGCCTTCATTCTCCAACAGGAATATAATTAAGAGAAGCAAATGGAACCTATAAATTTATAAGTTTTTCTGTTTCAAAGCTGGACACATAATACATCTTTCTTGAACCAGTAGATCTCATATTGATAATGTGCTCTTTTAAAAAGTTCTTTCTTTTCTCAGCAATAAAAAGGAGAAAACAGTAACCCTACAATGAATAATGAAATGATCATATTTGGGTCTTCAGGGTATTTATGTTGAATAAAAGATTATTTAAAAATGTACTTGAGAAACAGAGAAGTAACTACAACAGACATTTGCTGTTTATAGCGTGAGCCAGAGTGGTGAATTTGTGTATTGCTTAGACTTGGAGAAGTGCTTCCTCTCAAAGATGAAGCTGATCAGCAGCAGAAGCTCAGTTCTAACAGGTACAGAGATGTTAATGACCTCCTAGCAATTACAGAAACAGACCAAGAGACTGAGACAGGATAAAAGAAATAAAAGATAAGTGGAAAGAACACAAGGTTATCATAACTAAAAACTGTACTTTTAAGAAAACTGCAACTTCTGGGTCCCAGGCGAAATTACCCAAGGCAATATATACCCCCATAACCTTGGTTAAATTTATGTTCCCTTCCTTCCGGTCTCATCTCATCCAAAATTGTTCAGGGATACTGAAAACCCACATGCTGGCTTAACTGAGATAGTAAAGAGCAGAAGCCTGACCCTAAGATAAAGGAACAGGTTGAGATCATCCAAAATATGCTTAAATTAACATAGAGAACCACACCAAGCCATACCGAAACCTGCCCATACATGTAGAATGGGCTCGTACACTTTGGAGTACCACACTCACTTGGGGATTCTTCCCTTTCAAGAGAAGCATAAGTGTTTGCCATTGTTATAGGCAGCCAAGATAGATAACAATATTAAAAATATTATAGGCAGTCAGACAGGGTCAGGCTTCAAAGGAGCCAGTGCTGAAGATGAGATAACTTGGAACTGTTGGGGAAGATAGGCACCTCCAGCTGTGGACAAAAGATTAAATAGAGGCTCCCGCATAATTCCCTCGGATGGCCCTCCAGGATTGATATTTTAAATACATAGCAATCACCTTGAAAAAACCAGGAAGTCACTAACCCAGCCCCTTACAGGAGAGGCCCTGTTCTGTATTCATATCCACTTGCTACATGACTAGCTTCCCCATTTGATCTGATTTAATCAATCTTACCTGAATAATTATACTTGTAATCTTATTGGCTGATCATAGTTTTGTCCCACCCCATGCCCACCTAGCTAGTTCCCATGTTTTCCACCTTGGACCTGCCTCACCTTATGATGTTGCCCTAGCAAAGTCCCTAGAAAAGACAAGTTCCTGGGCAACCCACTCAGGCCCCCTGCTGTCCCTCTCTCAGACAGAAGCTTTCTTTCCCTCAGTAAACATATTCTTCTCTTAATCTCTGTTGTTCCTAAAATTCAGTCTTTGATTTTAGAGAACATGAACTCATCCCAGATATCTTTCAGGTTGGGAATTTTTTTCCCCCTGCATGACTATTTTAGGATTTAATTCATCTACTTTCTCTGAATGTGCCCTAAAATCTCAGCTTAATAAGCCCTTCCTGTGCCTTTTAATAATATGTCATAAAATTTCTTTTTCCACTAAGGGAGTCATGAAAACTGAAAACGTATTTTTTAAAGGTGCGGGGGTTCTTAAGCTTCTCCTTTAACTTTGGAAACCTCTCAGACTAAGTCCAGTGACAGGAGGAATTTCGTTATAGTCTGATTCTCAGGCTTCCCTATTCATTTCAAGCTTTCCTTTATTATTTTATTTTTTTCTTTCTGTGCACATCTACTCTACTATTCCGTGCTACCCTCATTTCTTTTATGTGTGACACAATTTTATTTGCCATTCTAATTCATTTACTAAGATCAGAAAACAGGACTCGTGAATGAAGCCTTCTTGTTACTCTTATTACTCTCTTTTTTATTCAGATATTAGACACTTTACCAGATATTAGATATTTGAATTAACTAAACATTTCATTGAATAAAGTCACATTGATATTGTAGGGAGGTGAAGTCAATGGATCTTATGTCAAAAACATTATAGCATCGACTTTCAGAAAGTAACTTGAAAACATAGATT